CCCAGTCTCAACAGAATATATCCTCCTCTCTCAAGGTTTTAGCCCCAGTCTCAACAGAATATATCCTCCTCTCTCAAGATTATAGCCCCAGTCTCAACAGAATATATCCTGCTCTCTCAAGGTTATAGCCCCAGTCTCAACAGAATATATCCTCCTCTCTCAAGGTTATAGCCCAGTCTCAACAGAATATATCCTCCTCTCTCAAGGTTATAGCCCCAGTCTCAACAGAATATATCCTCTCTCTCTCTCCCTACAACATATCCTTCATGTCCCTTCATTTTATCCTCCCTGTTCCCAAAACATATCCTCCTTTCCCAAGAATATATTCCCCTCCCTAGAGTATATCCCCATTTTTCGACTATATCCCCTCTCTTCAAAAAAACCCCTATATACTTCATTCCCAAAAAGATATCCCCTCTTCCCCAATATATATCCCCCTGTCCCCAAAACAAGTGTGATATCCCAGGAACGTACCCTCCCCAGAACTTATTTTCCTCTTGACAGGATCTACTCATCCCAGGAATAAATTGTTCTTTCAAGAACATGCCCTTCCCTCTTCTATAGCATACCCCCTCCCCAAAGAATATTTCCCTTTCTTCCTAGGACAATTACCTCCTTCCCAGAATATATACCCCTCTCCCCATAATATTTTCTCTATCCATGTTAAGTTCATGTCAAAAACATGGAACTAGGTGCTGTCTTGCCCAGAATTCTCTTAACTCCTTTTCCCTAACTATTTGTTCTTGCCCCCTTCCCTGAGTATTTTTTTTCTAATCCAGTTCCTTTAATGATATCTCTAACTCATCACTGAGTAATGAATATTTGCTCTAATCCACTTCCCATGAAGACCATGTTCTTGCCATATATCTTCACACTTCTTGACCATAAAAACAGTGATGGTCATATCTCTCTCTCCAAAACATTTACCCCTAACTTTAAAATCTTATGTTGCCGTGTGCCCTTTCTCCCCCTATAATACATAATTACATTGTAATCCAAAAGTAAATGAATTTTAATCTAACCAAACCTTAAAATATATAACCTGTCTGTAACTGAATACAGCAGTTATCTGATAGTGTCTACACTTTACCATACTTAATGCTGTAAATATATGTATGAAGACCATTAAAAATAGTCATAATACTAAATCAGTTTCTTCTCATCCCCTCCACCCCTCCTCTTGCTAACAACCCCCCACCCCCACTTCTATACCCCTTCCATTATAACCCCCACCCCATTCACCCCTTCAATACAAGTTGGACAATGCTTCGTTAAAAGGCCTGACTAGATAATCAATACCCTTTATTTTTGTAATTATGTGCATACCCATCTGAGATCATTTTCTTTGCTTAATTTTTTTCCCAAACTTTTTTAATTTTCATTGTATCGTTGACAATTTGTCTTTCATGATTAGCTTCAACATTCATGCAAACAAATTTCACAACTTCAACCCCAGTTTTTATGTAATTTTAATTAACCTACTATCGATTTCACTTATTTTTTGTAACATGATATTTTTCCAAAAACAATATTTTGATTATTTTTAGTAAAACCATGATAATGGGGTTATCAGGGTAGTGCTTTTCCCCCACGTGTTTGTCTATGTACAACATACAACAAATATTAGCTTTGTATACATTGCACTGAAGATTTTTCTGATTTAAAAAAGAAAAGCTAGAGTTGACGAAAACAATATTTTTAAAAGTGTCACAAACAAACAAATATGAGTTTCTTTTCCTTAATTTAAAACACTACAGACATACGGAAAAAGTCTGTTTAAAAATCCTATTTTCAAATTTCATGACCTTCAACTCATACATGGTCTGTCTCTACTCTGTTATAACACAATACAGGATTAACTCCTTAAAATCATATTTAAAAAAAGATTTATCAAAAACGTTTATAACCATGACCTTGATTAAAACAGTTTGTGATAAGGTATTTAGGATGTTAACAACATATTGAAAATCAAGATACAATACCAAATCATTTTTAACACGAACATCAAAAATATTCTGAAATGTCATCTGAAGCCAGTAAGTCTTCAACAGTATGTATGACACAGTTATCTCCCTTGGTGCCCTACATCTGGCAATTCTGGTGATGTTCAGACATACTTTGTTTGCGACGTCCTCATGCCGTTATATATATTATATCACAAACTTCCTCACACACTAGCATTAATTTACAAACTTTGTCACAACCATCTGTCATTTTACAACATACAAACAATGATTTAATAACACATGCTAGTGTGACTTCTCTCCAACTTGTACAGGGATTGAGCTTTTGGTAGGGCGATATTCATCAGAAGTGTTATTTGCCAAAATCAGCATAACAGATTTCAAAGAGGGAAAAAAATACTGCCTTACTAGAAATCTGTCTTATCCGGCTATTAAGTATAACCCGGGGACACGCCCTGGTACAGCCATGCGGGCGTGGTCAGTGGCTGTACCGGTACAGCCATGCAGGCATGGTCAGTGGCTGGATGGGTGTGCTCATGCATTATATACCTAACAATATTCATACACCATGCATGTGTTCTGTACATACCATTAACCCAATGTTTTCCAAACAGAAAATACCTTTTTTATAGAAATCTTTTCAACAAGCTAGGAATTTCTAACATTTTATCCAGAGATTATGGAGATATTCTGATCATTCAGATTAACTGTCAGTTTGTGAAGGTTATATATAGAGATTCAGTATGAAATAGACACACATAACATGTAGGTTACCAACTTGTTACACTTGACTATTATATATCTTAATAACATTCTCATACTATTTCCAAATCACTTTACAAACTTTCTCACACTGTCCTTTCCTTTTCTTTTAAAAATCCTTCCCTCAAACACAAATTTCTCAAAATCACTGGTCACAAATATTTCTCTCATGGCCTCCCATTGTAAGCATACTCACACCCTCCTATCAAATACAAACTTACTCCCTCCAGTAAAATACAACCATACTCACACCCTCCTATCAAATACAACCATACTCACACCTTCCTGTCAAATACAAACTTACTCCCTTCAGTAAAATACAAACATACTCACACCCTCCTGTCAATTACAAACATACTCCCTCCAGTAAAATACACCCATCCTCACACCCTCCTATCAAATACAACCATACTCACACCTTCCTGTCAAATACAAACTTACTCCCTTCAGTAAAATACAACCATACTCACCCCCTCCTGTCAATTACAAACATACTCCCTCCAGTAAAATACACCCATCCTCACACCCTCCTATCAAATACAACCATACTCACACCTTCCTGTCAAATACAAACTTACTCCCTTCAGTAAAATACAACCATACTCACACCCTCCTGTCAATTACAAACATACTCCCTCCAGTAAAATACAACCATACTCACACCCTCCTATCAAATACAACCATACTCGCACCCTCCTGTCAAAAACAACCATACTCACAGCCTCCTATCAAATACAAACCAATCCCTCCAGTAAAATCCAACCATACTCACACTCTCCTATCAAATACAACCAAACTCACCCCCTCCTATCAAATCCAAACCACTCCCTCCAGTAAAATCCAACCATACTCACACTCTCCTATCAAATACAAACTAACTCCCTTCAGTAAAATAAAACCATACTCACACCTTCCTATCAAATACAACCCACCCCCTCCAGTAAAATAAAACCATACTCACACCTTCCTATCAAATACAAACTACTCCCTCCAGTAAAATCCAACCATACTCACACCTTCCTGTCAAATACAACCATACTCACATCCTCCTATCAAATACAACCAAACTCACCCCCTCCTATCAAATCCAAACCACTCCCTCCAGTAAAATCCAACCATACTCACACCCCCCTATCAAATACAAAGTTACTCCCTTCAGTACAATACAACCATACTCACTTCCTCCTATCAAATACCAACTTACTCCCTCCAGTACAATACAACCATCCTCACACCCTCCTGCCAAATACAAACTTACTCCCTTCAGAAAAATACAACCATACTCACTTCCTCCTATCAAATACCAACTTACTCCCTCCAGTACAATACAACCATACTCGCACCCTCCTGTCAAAAACAACCATACTCACAGCCTCCTATCAAATACAAACCAATCCCTCCAGTAAAATCCAACCATACTCACACCCACCTGTCAATTACAAACATACTCCCTTCAGTAAAATAGAACCATACTCACACCTTCCTGTCAAATACAACCTTACTCCCTTCAGTACAATACAACCATACTCACACCTTCCTATCAAATACAAAGTTACTCCCTTCAGTAAAATACAAACATACTCACACCCTCCAGTCAAATACAACCATACTCACACCCTCCTGTCAATTACAAGCTAAACACTCCTTCTTTTTAAACGTATTTTCTCCTAACTGTCTACTAGGTTATATATTTAGCCATCATAATGCTTTGTAAACTGTAATAATCACACTTGCAGAAAAAAACCTGCTTCAAAAAAAACCTACGACAGAATTGCAAATAAACCATATACACTACAAAAACAGAACTAATTTATTACAAAGTTTGATTGAAACATTGTCTGTGAACTAAACACACACACGCACAGTAGTAAAGTTTACCACAGATTGACTTCAATTGATATTACAATGAGTGAGCAGCGTGATACAGAGATAAACACGGACTAGTAACACTAAAATACAGTTGTTAATGAAACAATACAAATGAATACGATGTTATTTGATCAGACATCACTGAGAATTGGTCACAGTTCATGCCTAACAGTGCATCAAGTATGCCTTTGATATTTTTATTTGTTAATGGAATATTTTAACTAAGGTACAAATAAATATATCAATTAAATTGCTTCAATACATCTATTTGTAACAACACTGTCAGAGTCATCTACACAGCAACATACGTACACACCATGTGTGTGCTACACTTACAATCCACATGCTTGTATCATACTTCGATGGATAGTCATCAATATTGTCTCAGTTTTCCCATGTTAATTGTACCCAGATAAAGCAATATATTAATTTGATATTTCTATTGTACGATGTAATCTCATGTAACACATACATACTTGTATTAAAGTACCCTATACACATATGTTCAAGCACGTTTTATATCGCAAACATTCACTCTACCTGCTATATCGGACACACTTAAACTGTATAAATGCATCATGGTCAAATAGCATTGTTCTTACAAAGATGAGAACATTGCAATTCAGATATGTTTCAGAGCTATGATCCTGCTTGTCACAATGTGTCTGTATAGTCAGTGAGAATAAGCAGACATAACAACCATGGACACTCCATCAAAGAGACCAGCTCCATAACCTGTTGAGGAGTTACCTCCCTTGTTGAGGACAAAAATAGTGTAGGCCCGAAGAGTAACAGCCGAGTTTGAGAAGTTCACCCTCACTTAGGGAGAGATGCATTGTAGTCCTGGAGAGTAACAGCCGAGTTTGAGAAGTTCACCCTCACTTAGGGAGAGATGCATTGTAGTCCTGGAGAGTAACAGCAGAGATTGAGAAGTTCAACCTTACATGGGCCGAGACTAAAATGAAGCACGTACAGGACAGATCAAACAAAAGATTGTTGCAGCTACATGTATATCTTTTTGTCTCAGTGGTGATGAAGAGGATAATTAAGTAAGAAACCCCTCTTCCTGGAGCTGGTTCATCAAACAAAATGTGACAAATAGATGCTAAATGTATGGGCTAGTTTTATATCCGATAAAATTCTTTGAAATCATTAAAACAGCTGCAGTATTTAAGTATTCTCAAAATGTCTGATAATAATTCTGAAAGTAGCTTTGTAAATCTACTGAAAATGTGATATCTTTGATTAATACACGGAAAGGTAAAATTGTAAATATAAATTTGTCCTTCAATAACTGGCTGGTACATATAAAGTAATAAACCATGCCCATGCCAATGTATGCACACTCAGACACACTCGGACACATTCACTCGTGGTTTGTACTTAGGAGGGAATTGTTCATAGACTAATGCTATCGAAATGATTCAATGACACAGAGGACTGACAAATGATGGGACAAATGATACGTCTACTGGTGGTGATATAATAATGACACAGGGGACTGACAAATGATGGGACAAATGATACGTCTACTGGTGGTGATATAATAATGACACAGGGGACTGACAAATGATGGGACAAATGATACGTCTACTGGTGGTGATATAATAATGACACAGGGGACTGACAAATGATGGGACAAATGATACGTCTACTGGTGGTGATATAATAATGACACAGGGGACTGACAAATGATGGGACAAATGATACGTCTACTGGTGGTGATATAATAATGACACAGGGGACTGAAAAATGATGGGACAAATGATACGTCTACTGGTGGTGATATAATAATGACACAGGGGACTGACAAATGATACGTCTACTGGTGGTGATATAATAATGACACAGAGGACTGACAAATGATACGTCTACTGGTGGTGATATAATAATGACACAGGGGACTGACAAATGATACGTATACTGGTGGTAATATAATAATGACACAGAGGACTGACAAATGATACGTGTACTGGTGGTGATATAACAATGACACAGAGGACTGACAAATGATACGCGTACTGGTGGTGATATAATAATGACTCAGAGGACTGACAAATGATACGTCTACTGTTGGTGATATAATAATGACACAGAGGACGGACAAATGATACGTGTACTGGTGGTGATATAATACTGACACAGAGGACTGACAAATGATACGTTTACTGGTGGTAATATAATAATGACATAGAGGACTGACAAATGATACGTGTACTGGTGGTGATCTAATAATGACACAGAGGACTGACAAATGATCCGTGTACTGGTGGTGATATAATAATGACTCAGAGGACTGACAAATGATACGTCTACTGCTGGTGATATAATAATGACACAGAGGACGGACAAATGATACGTGTACTGGTGGTGATAAAATAATGACACAGAGGACTGACAAACGATACGTCTACTGGTGCTGATATAATAATGACACAGGGGACTGTCAAATGATACGTATACTGGTGGTAATATAATAATGGCACAGAGGACTGACAAATGATACGTGTACTGGTGGTAATATAATAATGACACAGAGGACGGACAAATGATACGTGTACTGGTGGTGATATAACAATGACACAGAGGACTGACAAATGATACGCGTACTGGTGGTGATATAATAATGACTCAGAGGACTGACAAATGATACGTGTGCTGGTGGTGATGTAATAATGACACAGTGGTCTGACAAATGATACGTATACTGGTGGTAATATAATAATGGCACAGAGGACTGACAAATGATACGTTTACTGGTGGTAATATAATAATGACATAGAGGACTGACAAATGATACGTGTACTGGGGGTGATATAATAATGACACAGGGGACTGTCAAATGATACGTATACTGGTGGTAATATAATAATGGCACAGAGGACTGACAAATGATACGTCTACTGCTGGTGATATAATAATGACACAGAGGCCTGACAAATGATACGTCTACTCGTGGTGATATAATAATGACACAGAGGCCTGACAAATGATACGTCTACTCGTGGTGATATAATAATGACACAGAGGCCTGACAAATGATACGTCTACTGGTGGGGATATAATAATGACACAGGGGACTGACAAATGATACGTATACTGGTGGTAATATAATAATGACATAGAGGACTGACAAATGATACGTGTACTGGTGGGGATATAATAATGACACAGGGGACTGTCAAATGATACGTATACTGGTGGTAATATAATAATGACACAGAGGACTCACAAATGCTACGTGTACTGGTGGTGATATAATAATGACACAGAGGACAGACAGCAGAGTCAAAAAGACCAACATCCATACAATATTAAAGAGCTAATGCAGTAATAGTGTTACTTAAAGATCAAAGAGTTGCCCCCCTTTTAGTGAAAGCAGTCGACCCAGAAGGATGGCACATTTTCCATTAAAAACACTGCATTAACTCAGGGAATTTTAACCCTTTACTTGTGTGCTATTGATCACCTACTGTATGTTTGAAGCTACCTGTGTGAAGTAACACTGTGTCAGTAACCTGTGTGAAGTAACACTGTGTCAGTAACCTGTGTGAAGTAACACTGTGTCAGTAACCTGTGTGAAGTAACACTGTGTCAGTAACCTGTGTGAAGTAACACTGTGTCAGTAACCTGTGTGAAGTAACACTGTGTCAGTAACCTGTGTGAAGTAACACTGTGTCAGTAACCTGTGTGAAGTACGTAACACTGTGTCAGTAACCTGATACAAACGATTCTTTTATATCATGATACTTCCAGCTACGGAAGCAATAGACCAAATTATGGATGGAGAAATATCTACGAATAATACAGAGAATCTCAAACTTTATATGCACATCTAATTAAAAATGACCAAATTTAGAGACTATTTCATTGATAAGATACATACTGCATCAGATGGACAGGTTGTCCTATCGTCCGACTTTTGAGGACAATGAAGTGTAAAAAAAGTGACTGTAATGTATAAGAGCATGCGTGAATACATTATCCTCCATGATATGGCGCTGTTGTCATGTTAGGCTCAATACTCTGACACTAGGAGGGAAGATTCTGTTCTGTGTTGGAGTTATCAAACACAAAATTCTACACAAAATGATGGACCCCATGTAATAATGAACATGGATTCTTGATGGGAAAATACTGTCAAAAATCTCTCCAAACATTCATCTATCCATCGATTGTCCAGCCAATGAGTATACACATATAAAACATATTTTCTATCCTTAGTGATGCCCAGCCGATTATGGATCAGTGTCACCCTTTTTTAGGTCGTAATTAGCACTAAGGTAACATTGATTACATAAAGTATTTTCTACAGGCTTGGAAAAAAGACATTGATAGCGATATACAGGTAAAATCTTATAAAATTTACAAGGCAATACACAATATCCCTTTCTGTAGAGGAAACACTGAAATAGTGTGGTAAGCCCAGGGCTAATGTAAAATACATAACGATTTTAATGTTATATTTAAGAGTTAAATTGAGATGTATTTGATAGCTACAAGGATCCAGGTCTGGTACTAACATTGAGCTGAGCTACACAGGAAGCTTAACAAGGATACCCTGATCTAAACAAGATCTGATTCCCAACATACACATATAAAATCATTTACCACTGTCACCGACAACGTACAGATATTGTAAAACTTTACCGGTCACATGGCAGAGAAGTAGGATCACACAAATAATAAATAATTACGGCTGTTACCGTCTCTGCTGGGGGTAATGAACACATTCTCGGCAATACAAAGTCAATAAGCAGTAGTATGTATATTCCAGTAGCACCTGTATATGGAATACTGCAGAGACAAGCGATATTGACTAGTGTCTGAGAAACTACAGCTTTACTTCATAAAATACCATCCACATCTGTATATACTGATGTCAAATAGAACCATTCTCCGTCAGTATATACTGAAATGAAATAGTAGCATCCTGTGAATATATAAACTGAGGAGCTAGGAAGCAGTACTTAACACTCCAATATGTTCACCATATATCAATTACATACCAAAAGCATTTTTAATGATAAAAAACACCAGCAATGTGGCGATCATGAAGAATCATACATAAAGCATTGATTTATCATCATTTTTAATATCCATAAAAAGATATTTTTTGCTTTTCGAGCATCTACCATTCCACAAAAAAAAAAAAAGTCTGATGAGTTTTGAGTATTTACACTAGCTCTCAGCTACCAAACTCCCCATTCCGTCTTCTACCCCTTCTGCTGAAGTGGACTCGCTTTACAGAGTTGGGTCCATCATAGCAGAATATAGGGTGGTCAGATTAATCAGGGTCTATACCATACTTAATGGTACAATATGTAATCTTTGGCAAGTCCAAGTAACCCTTCAGTGTCGTGACACCTAAACACAAACATAATTCTATGTGTTTGGGTTGTCTCCCTTCACACCAATCAAAAACTACATAAATAAAATACACATCAACATTTTTAAGATATCATTAATTATAACAGCGACTTCTCAAATTGATAAAAGGTAAACCTGATGGTATTGTAGCTATGCCAACCATTGCCATGCTGACTGTGTCACATTAACATCAGTTAGCCCTCAGCCAGTCAGGTTTGGACTGTAGGAACAGTTACACTACAAATATCACAAAAATATAGCTGTCAGTAAAACATTTCATAATCACATTATGACTTATCAATGTCAATAAAAAGTTCAAAATAATGCAAATTTAAAGAAAGTTAATTTGCAACCCCTAATTTGGCCCCTATACTCCAGTAGATGAGTTGTCCTATTAGCTATCAGCAGCACTTTGTCATTGCAAACATAGCACCACATTTCCCATCAAGACTTGTTGTTGCTAGGCAACATCTGCACCAGGTACTTTTCAGGGGAGACAACCATGAAATCATAAAAATCAATGTCATGGTCTGGATCCAGATAACTCTTTGAGACTGCTGAGGTATCCCTCATGTAGTATGTTGAGAAAGTTGGGGTCATTCTGTAAGCAAGAAAAATGTCATTTACTAATTATTTCTTCCTATATTTTTGTTCTACATGAAAATGTGGCAGATATTGTGTTTATGCATGAAATAATAACAATTCATGCTGCTGAGATTGAGCAAGTAAACCATAGAATTTTTAAAAACAATATTAATTGGGATATTTACCATATTGGCAGAGATTAGCGATAGAAAGTGGTTAATGTTTGACTGTATTTTTTGGTGAGCGTCACTAAAGATGACACATAAGTGGTATTTTTAGATACAAATAACACTTTCGTTACTTTGGTGTTTTGTATAGCACTTTAAATTCGCGGGGTCAATATTTCGCGGTTTCGAATTCAGTACATATTTGCAGGGTTTAAATTTCGCTGTGCACCCAAATCACATGTGAACGTCGAAATACAGGTAAATCGTTTGAAAACACTGATCCAGAGCGTCGTCATCCTCCAGCGACTTCACTCGGAAGAAAATCAAATGAGTATGTACCTTTGTAGGAGTAAACTGTAATCAAATTAATCACCTATTGTGTACGCATAAATATGCTGCTTTGGCCACTTATATGTAAGTGTTGTTTTTACATGGACTGCCAAGTTGTCCGATGATAATCTGATTCGAGTTCATTTAACCTTGCATAACAGCGTTGGGTTATAAGTATTTTCAACATGTTGTGATAAGGTCCCTAAAAATGGTTAACACTTTCGATAATTTCACTGGTGTTTAGAATTCGCGGATATTAGTCAAAGCGCGACTATAGCGAAATTAAAACCCCAGCAAAATATAACCACTATACAGTATATAATTAAAATATGTGTTGAATCACTCATAAGACTCCAAATAATTAAATAAAAGCATTATAGATACCATGAATACAGTGAATACTTGATCTAAATTATCCTCTGCATGGGGGCATCCATTTTTGTCGAAAGCCTGTAGTTTTCACGCATTGTGTGAAATGCAAAGTCAACCACATGTAAGACTATGATTTATGATTACGGAATGCTTCAAGATTTATTATGGATTTTGCAAACCCTTTCAAGATCTGCGATAGCTATCAATTTTAACATCTCTAAAACAAAATTCTGGAACCTTTCGACATGTAAGTAATGCATACATCAAAAAAAAAGTAAGTGATTGCATTATAAATGTGCATACAATTTAGTCAATGTTAGTCAACGTTCACAAAACCTGCAGATAGAAAACCACCCAAACCTATATAGTCCCATATTAAAATATTCATGGGGTTATAAACACATTAAAATGTTCATGGGGTTATAAACAAATTAAAATATTCATGGAATTATAAACACATTAACATATTCATGGCATTATAAATACATTAGTCAAAGTTAGATGGTTTTAAATCTTAATAAAAATTTGAAATATGTATTGAATAACCTTCACTCAATATCTGAGAGAAAAAAATATCAGCTTTCCTGACAAACTTAAAATAATACAAAATCAAATTTTACCTTGAGGAGATACAGCATGGCCTGATGGAGCTGTTCCTTAGTCAGGGCCGCCACAGTGATAGACTCAGAGCTACTAGAGCCCGCACTACGATCTAGTAGATTACTTTCATCTGAAGCTGGAACCAAGAACAGAGGCTATAAACATGGTCAGGTCAGAATATGGACAGTTGGGAGGCCAGAAGGTGGACATGATAGAAGGTAGAACATAAAACAAAGTAGAAGGACATAGCACAGAGGGTAGAGACATTATACAGTGTAGGACATAGCACAGAGGGTAGAGACATTGTGTAGTGTAGGACATAACACAGAGTATAGAGACATTATGTAGTGTAGGACATAGCACAGAGGGTAGAGACATTATGTAGTGTAGGACATAGCACAGAGGGTAGAGACATTATGTAGTGTAG